AGATGGCACCGTAAGACTTGTCCGGTCAACTGTTGGTTCATTGTAGTCACCGACCACGTTGCTTAGACATTTCGATGTCCAGGAGCCTAGCTTCTCTAGGAACTCGTCTGCACTACAGTTGGGACTGTGGTATACAGCAATTCGGTCAACATCTTGGCCTATGCATTTAAGTCTGCAGCGCGATTCACGATTCACTTTCGTGAGCGAGTGCTTCTATGCAACGCAGGGTTAAGCATTTCTTGGTTAAGCCACCTCCTTTGCGGGTTAGTCGGTTCACCCCATGCGCTTTGAAGTTTGGCAGACTAACTTCGTTATCAGTGACATGGGTTCTGAGCCATGTCTCTTTTATGCGTCTATCATACTACCCAGATCAGTCCGTTTGTTCAACAGGCCGCGGGCATTTGTATGGCAAGCTGTCAATTCAGTTTGGTGCTTCTGCAGCCTATCCCTAGGTTTCGAGATCACCAAACTTCTGACTCTGACAACTCAAAAACCTTAATCTTGAGGTTTTTCCCACTGTTTCGGCGTCTTTCGCGTAATTCTAGGGCCGCAGATTGTCTTTTGACACAGTCTTCTAGGCCTTAGTTTGCACGAACGTATGTGCCTGCTCCTTTAAGAAGTTGGGAGTTACCTACAATGGCACCTCTCTCATCTTTGGAGTTTAGTACGACTTTGAGGAGGCGTACAGGCCAATTTACTGCAGAGTTAGGCTTTTGGCAGATTTTATATAAGCTGTGTATGGTTATCTCTGATACTGTTTTTAGCAGTAGCTTATCTAAAAGGGGCTTGACCAAGTTAACGTCATGCTGGAACTTGACCTTGGGATAGGAGGCCAATGATTCTTCCACTTTGCGGAGAATGAGCCACTTGTCAGAGAGATCAGGTTTGCTTGCATTGGCCTTCTTGCTCTGCAGTGTGAAGTCTTTATGACCTTATTGGACAGTGTGGACACTAAGTTGTCTTTGTCTCGCTTTTTGCAGGGGACTACATTACGCCATTCATTGGCGTCTTCCCAGCTAATCGTAGTCTATTTAATCTGTCTGCTATCCACTGGTGTGGATTAGGCTTGATCTAAAAATCCCTGGGCAACTTGAGATGCGGGTTTTAGACCCCTAGCACGCCTCTTCTTAGTGTCAGTCTTTCCATACTGTCACTGGAGAGCTTATCCGGTATCGTACAGCACTGTCGGTGTCTGCAATATGGTGGGTGTTCTGTGCTGAAGGACACTCACTGCCTGGCAGAGACGCGTCAGGAACGTGTGTTGTCTTGTCGATGACGGTAGTTACGCCATCCGTGTCTGAGCAGTAGTCGATTTTCTCCTGTAAAGGAAGAGTCTTGCAGTCCATGAGCTTCAGAGCCCTACTGAGAGTGGCAATGGCTTCCACAATCCGAAACCTAGTCATACTGTAGAAGTCGTTGCACAGCCAGAGGTTTTCAACAGAGCTTGCATCCTGCAGGAATTAGGGTTTTGCGTGTAGTGTGAAGCTATCTCTTGCAGCTATCACACTGCATTCCTTCTTCAACTAAGAATTGGCATATAAATCTTCCGCAATGGTTCCTTTTGATAGGCATGCTTTACAGAGTGAATCTGGACAAAATCATTCAAATATGACCTTATATATGGCCTTTATATATATCAGTGATAAAAAACCAGTCGGTGTACAGAAATGGAAATAAATAACTATTAACTCATAAGAACACTTATTATAAATACATAGACTCAACACTGAAAAGTATACCCACTTTTATCTGAATAAACTGATTTAAGGTGAATCAATAGACTTTTGGAGTGTACAACATAATAAAAGCCTAAATCAGACGAGATAGTGTAAAATCCAGTCCGCTTTCAAACTTCGCGCGGTAGCGGTTGCTGAGGTCCCTGAATCGTTGGTTCAGACCTGTTCAACTTTGGTGTCTGTTCTTACCCGTGTGAGGATATACGCCATAACCAGGTGTTATCGCGCAGCGACATCGGTTGCCGCGTTCACGGCTACAGGCGTTATAATCGCCTATTTTTTGGGAAATAGATCATATTTGACTAGTTTTAGACTTCTGGAGCCACACGGCATTATTTTGTTCATAGTAAAGCGTAAAATTGTATATTATAGCTCGGACGGATTATCAATGAAGAAGTCATACTTTTGAAGAAAGTTCGCATAGAAAGAGTATTATTTGCATTATAGTGCGTTGAGGGTTTGTTTTTCGCAAGTTGTTTCAAATCTTAAGGTTGTAAATATACTACAGGCAATGGCAGAGTACTTAATGTCAGAGTACTTAAAATGAGTATCAGCTATCTGTTGATTAGTAGCTAGCAGGTGTGTCATACAACTACTACACCTGTTACATAGATTATATCAATCTTAATAATTATTTTGTTTCAAATCACTAAGATATTCTGAGATCCTTAATGACTTAATTGTGGCTATGAAAGATGCACTTATAGCCCATATATTTCAAGCAGTTATTACTAAACAAGTTATCTGTAAGCATTTTGTGATGTTCTGGTTACAATGCTTGAGTGTATGGGGTTAACATGCATGACCACAGTTGAGTTAAGTATAGTCTTTCTAAGTTACACTCTTTTTGAAATGTGGAGCACGTTAATGGTGCAGAAAATATCATGAACATAACGCATACATAATATTATTAACTGCCAGTAATTGTGCCATCGAATCATACTACAAGAATACATTTGATAATACTTTGTTAGTGGTCTGAGGGACAAAAATACTAGAGCGAAACATACAAGCTAGATGAAAGTTTCACAAAGCTGTCCCACTAAAATACAATGTCTCACTCGTAGATTTCCTATACGCATGTGAACGTATCCACATACTGGTATGCGGAAAAGTTCGTCACTGTTAGCAATATATGAAGTTCACGCCTTTTGAAAGTCTTCTAATGCTTTTGTAACTTCTTACATATGTGCTGCTTGCGCTCGCACTGATTACCTGCGATGAAATTCTAGAAAAAGGGCTCGTTAACAAAGCACATTATTGCAACAGCTTGTGACAGCTAAGCCGCAAGAAACATAGGATACCAAACTATGTCAGTGAGAAATCACGAAGTAGGAAATACTGTTTCTATAACCACAACTCAAGAAATGCATTGGCACCCACGGGATGGTAGTCACTGATAGGAACCATAATGCCTGACCAGTTTCCAGGGAGTTCATAGCGAAAAGAGAAGTGTATCTGTGTAAAAAACAGTGAAACAATGTTAAAATAGTCAAATATTACAACTATCTTTGTCAAATTTGCTTGCAAACGGCGCATAACACAACCACACAAAACCTCACACGATACGACCTACCAAGGACAAATCAAATATCCAATTGACCGCCACCGTTCTAGCCAATGAAAGACGAAAAAACCTGAGTCGCGGAAAATATAACACGTTATAACGTATATCCTCACCCTTCTTACCCGTTCCCCTAGAGGTTGGGTTCCAGCAAAGTTCTACGGTAGAGACCCAAAGGATGCGAATTCACGAGTGACCTTCAGCCGACCGAACATGAAGATGAGGAATTTTTGCACAAAAATCACGATTATATGCAAGAAAATGCATGAAAACACATTGGACAGGGCATTTTTCTCTGACATGACTTAAAAATAGGTCCTAGTTAAGATGAGGAGCGTCTGTTGCTAAGTTAGAATAGTTTCGGTACACCTGTTCACCGAGGTGACTGGAGATGAGCTGTTTTTGTGAATCACTCATCTCTCTTATCCCGTTGTGCAGTCCTCCCCGAAAGCCCTCAGTTGAAGTACTGTGGTTTCCAGTAAGAGGAACGACGAGTACCTATCAGGAAAATGTAGATAATAAAAATAATTAAAATAAATGACATCAGCTATAAATCTATCCATAATCGTAACCCTAACCTTAAACTTGACCCCCGCACTAATCGTAACCTCAATCCTAATCATAATCATAACCTTTATCCAACCCGTAATTTTAATCTTAATGCTAGTTATGACTCTGATCGTAACCCTAACCGCAATACTTATCTTAACCCTAATCCTAACCCTAACGAGCTATTAACACATTGTCAGGACAGGACTTAAAGACGTGATGTAGGTGAAATTTACCGCCTAGCTGATGAATAGCGTTGATATTTCAGCTACGATAATGACAAGTACCATTAGCCAACGACTAGCATGCGTTGAAGGTCATTGGATGGTTCACACTGCTGGGACTATATTGTTGAACTTCGCCGGCTTCCATATGATCTAAAGTAATTGCATTCACGAAACAATGTCAAAGCGATAATTTGTTTCGAAAGTAATGAGTTAGCAGCTCAGCGGTGAGTATTATTTGCCAATGAAAATTGAAATATATATCTATTCACATTTTATTTCAGTTTCGAGTAATTTTTGGCTTAAAACAAGAAACGATGACTTTGTTTGTTAAATGAGGTGTTTATTTGGAAGACGAAAATCTGTTAAACAATTGCAATATTAATAATTTAGGAGGGAAACGAAAAACAGTGAAGTCAGAGGAAGTAAACTGAAATGCATATGAGCCATTTATATATATTGTGGTCGTATGTCTGTTTTTCAAAAAGATATTAACCTTACAAAAAGGAATTGTTTGATCTCTTCACACAATTAAAATAATGAGATAAAGAATGAAGGGGAAGGAAGGGTAGAAGATGTGTTAATAATGCAACACCTTTGAAATAAACGATATTTTGTATCAGTAATAAGTGTATATAAATAAGAATTTTAATATCTAATTACATTAAGCAAATGAACGGAATTATAATTATTAAGAAAGGTTATTGTGGCATTGCAGGTTTTATCGTAAAAGTAAGAAAACAAAAGTGTATTCGTATATATATATATATATATATATATATATATATATATATATGAGTGTGAATGTCTGTATCAACGTCTTTAAACTTTGATTTGTAGACTGCATCTATGATTCTCCATAGGCTTTTTGAATAGTCTTCTCAGTAGCTTGTAAATAAGGTGATCGTTCATCTAAACTACGATCGAAAACGGAACCTGGTGCAGGACCTTGAATATAAGATACACAGACAAAATCATCATGAACATGAGCGTAAAGTACAACCCAAAAAAAAAATTGTTTTACCTAAAAGAAAAGTTTCAGGAAGCCATTATTAATCTTTTGCACTAATAGACTCACCTATGTATTAGTCTTATAATTCTAAAATAAGCTTTAGTGAAAGTGCGTTCAGGAATACCTTCACCAGTTAATTTAAAGTTCTTGGATTCACCAATCTTTATTCGAAGGCTTAGGATGTCAGAACGAGGAGATACATATGAAATGCTCCCCATTACCTATACGAATTCTATTTAAGTGTCCCATACTATATAAAAAGGAAACCAATTCACTAATAGATAATAACCTAAAATAAAATCCCACCGAAACAATAGACAAAAGACAACATGCACCTAAAAACACATGCTACATTATTCAAAGGAATATAAATTGATTTACCGAAGACTTTAGAAACCTATCAGCTCACAAGACATTCGGTCGTACATCGGAATTATTAATTCCATAAGCTCTTGCAATACAATTTTCCAAAACTAAATACTATGCAAAAATTTCTTAATAAAATTGCAAGTTTCACTTGTTCAGTTAGATGTCCAACGAGTCAAAATATTAGTAGTGAATCAGAAGGACAACGACTCCACTGGACACCTTCAGCTACACATGTGTATGTATATGTTACTTGTTGACTATACTATCTATCAAGTAATGCTTCTATTGACTGAGAATAAGTTAAACAATATAATAAGCTGTAAAGGCTATAAGCTTGGCATGCACAACAAGCTTACACAACTTTCTGCCATGTAATAACAACTCGACACAACTCGAGAAGCGAAATTCACTCTAAGTTTCACCATTTTAAGAAGAAGAGAAAGAAGGAGAAACCCATTGATTTGGTAAAAATCATATCGGAAAGTAAAATCTGAAGGATTTGGTAAGCCACCTCAATCAGAATGCGATATTCTAAAGGCATAATTAGTAGTACTCAAACACCAATTCACATTTTGCAGTAACACAGGGTGAAAAATGTTTGAGCCTATTTAATTTAGTAAGTGGAAAAAGGGATCCAGAACACAGACATTACCTGATTGATTTGCATCAAAACTCTTTGTTAGAACTAAAATGAAAATTTCAGTAACACACGATTACGATAATGAACAGTGGGATGAGAGAGCGAGAGAGAGAGAGAAAACTGCTTCTACATGTCCAAACAGAAAGAGTCTTCAGTCATATTTGCTGTTCTCAGACCTGGATAATTTATAGAAAGGCTTACCAAATGATGCGATAAAATCGCGTGGATGAGATTTTGTCTCTGTGATTTTGTAGTACTGTGATGGGTGTTTATGATTTCAGATAAGAAGATCTATTGGAAGATATTCTGTTCATCGTATGAGTAGTCGTCAGTGAGAATGTCAATTTAGAATTCTGGAAGTCGGCTGGCTACTCTCCAACTGTACTATTCTCTGATAATTTCATCTAGATTGAGTTTCATTAGCCTGCTTACTCATCGCCTGAGTTCAACAGTAGAGATATTTATTATTGAGGGCGGTCGTCAAGCGAATTTTAGAATTGACGAAGAAGCTGAATGCATGCATGAGATAGAATTTGTAAGATGTGATTTGAATTTATGCAACCCAATCGAATCCCTCAACCTATTTGAAGAGATCGTGTCATTAATGAAATTATTTTTAGATTATGGAGATTCACAGATTTGTTGAGGAATTCAATTTTTCGAAATTTACTTTGATTTCCTTAGTCTTGGGAAACGAAGAGCATTCCACCTATGTACTATTATTATTTATATCATAATTATTATTATGCATTCTTAGGGTTTTTGATAGAATGTGTGGCTTCACTATCACATCTCGATTCCACTTGATTCTTTGTAGGTACTTTCAACTGTTATCAGGATTGCTGAGAATATTTCATTTCTGCTTCATACGTTGTTTCCCATGTCACTCAATGGCGTCAAACCCGTCACTTCCTGTTAGGGTTTACCTCGAATGTCTGGTGTGTGATTTCACTCATCTCACCCCTCAGGATATTTCCAAACCCTCCATCTCGTTTTCCTTCTGCATATATTTTGGGCGACAGATTGCCAGCTAGTCTGCCGAACTTCCAGACTCCTTAATGCTCATCCCTTTCGATTGGCTATCTGATATTCATTTTCGACTAATGGCAGCTGTTGATCGAAGTCTGCAGTCGATTGGAAACGTCTTAAAAGACGCGTCGGGTCTCAGCCATACAGAAGCAATTGAATGACATTAGTGCTGAGTACTGTGGATCTCCACACAGATTTCAGAGTAATGAATCTTCTGTCATGCTTTCCTGGTCTAATCATGGCTGGCCTCGACATCGCTATCTGTTTTAATATGTGGTGGTGTGATACAGGCAATGTGTCTCGGCAGAATTTAATTCCCACTTATTCCCAGAGTTCAGTATTTCTTTAGCAACAGAATAATGTGTGTATTTGAACATTCTATTTCACATCGTTTAATGTAGACAAAAATCACACGATCAATGACTGGTTAGAGAATATAAAATTGTACATGCAAATAGCGATTTGATCACTTCAAAATATACTTTGGCTTCTGTATCATGCCTCTTGCTGTTACAACCAGCCTGTGGTTGAAAGACTGTTGAAGGCTTTTGCACAATTAGTATTCTTACTATCAAGTTTACCTAATGTGTTTAATTTGTGTTTAAATAAATGAAAACAGGCCTTCGATCACTAACATTTTGTGAGTAAATTGACAAAACTGGAATCCATTGCACCGTTTTCATTTTACTCCCAGTTAGTATACTCTAAGAATGACTTTTAAACTTTCAAATTTACAAGTATATGAGGACTTTCAACGTGAGCACATGAGGCCTTTGCGTCAGAATGACTTTCAAAACTCTACAGAGTTCATTTATGTGAAGCTAGTTCCAACGGATTTGTTTCAAATACTTAATAGTGCACACATAAAACAGAAAATATACAATGACATGGCTTATTCTGTATTCAAGAACCCAGAAATCTTTAAATGTCTGGAGTGTTTTCAAAAAAACGACTCGCTTCAATGCTTGTTAATACTGTTTGAAATATTTCTCAGTTAATCAGATTTATTTATCCCTTGTAATCTTTCGGATTAATTACAAAATAGTTAGGAATCTTCAATGACTTGTCCTGTTGCTTCAACATCTTCATGTGTTGTTGTTTGATTATAATTTAAAGGAAAGTCAAAGTATCATTGACAAAACCAGAGTGGCCTAGAGCGACCAATCAGAATTCAGATGCAATAAAGTTGCATAATCGTTGCAAAATATACTGGAAAACATTGCAGACATGATATTATACTACAAAGGTTTCGCTTATATGCCGTAACAATTTCTCCCAGTCACTATAAACAGATGATCCATGGAGAAATCATATCGTTCGCGATATATGCATTCATCCAGGTGACTAGGTCACGGCACTTTGAGATCTATTGATACTTGCGCCACTTTTCCTTGACCTACTCCCAACTCTAACCCTACTCTCAATCATATATATCAACCTTATCCCAACATTGACCCTAGACACTAATTTAAAAAGCGAAAACCCTACCAATCAGTATAGATTTACAAAAAGAGTATCTAGTGAATAAGTGTAATACTGTAGCTGCCTTCACCAAGTTCAGAAAGGCAGGCGTAATTTTATTTCCGATGAACTTTCACAGCATTCCCTCTAACTGATTGGTTCGTAACAGCCAAATCTTGAAGTTTGCATGACATTATTTTCTAAATCAGGACTATTCATTCAATAATCTCGTGCATTAAAGTTGTCCTAAACTTAATGCAGTTCAAATGTCTCTTACTAAAATTGCAAGTTTCACTTGTTCAGTTAGATGTCCAACGAGTCAAAATATTAGTAGTGAATCAGAAGGACAACGACTCCACTGGACACCTTCAGCTACACATGTGTATGTATATGTTACTTGTTGACTATACTATCTATCAAGTAATGCTTCTATTGACTGAGAATAAGTTAAACAATATAATAAGCTGTAAAGGCTATAAGCTTGGCATGCACAACAAGCTTACACAACTTTCTGCCATGTAATAACAACTCGACACAACTCGAGAAGCGAAATTCACTCTAAGTTTCACCATTTTAAGAAGAAGAGAAAGAAGGAGAAACCCATTGATTTGGTAAAAATCATATCGGAAAGTAAAATCTGAAGGATTTGGTAAGCCACCTCAATCAGAATGCGATATTCTAAAGGCATAATTAGTAGTACTCAAACACCAATTCACATTTTGCAGTAACACAGGGTGAAAAATGTTTGAGCCTATTTAATTTAGTAAGTGGAAAAAGGGATCCAGAACACAGACATTACCTGATTGATTTGCATCAAAACTCTTTGTTAGAACTAAAATGAAAATTTCAGTAACACACGATTACGATAATGAACAGTGGGATGAGAGAGCGAGAGAGAGAGAGAAAACTGCTTCTACATGTCCAAACAGAAAGAGTCTTCAGTCATATTTGCTGTTCTCAGACCTGGATAATTTATAGAAAGGCTTACCAAATGATGCGATAAAATCGCGTGGATGAGATTTTGTCTCTGTGATTTTGTAGTACTGTGATGGGTGTTTATGATTTCAGATAAGAAGATCTATTGGAAGATATTCTGTTCATCGTATGAGTAGTCGTCAGTGAGAATGTCAATTTAGAATTCTGGAAGTCGGCTGGCTACTCTCCAACTGTACTATTCTCTGATAATTTCATCTAGATTGAGTTTCATTAGCCTGCTTACTCATCGCCTGAGTTCAACAGTAGAGATATTTATTATTGTGGGTGTCACGAGTATTTTACAACTGACAAACAGTGTGTTTGGTTGCATGAGAAAGTATTTTTAACTCGTTGAATTCATTGTAACTGTTTGAATACGTTATCTTATTGATCAAATTAATTATATATTGTATGAGTTTCCAGATTTGGAGATGAAATCTACTTTTCAAATTTACTTTGATTTCATTATGCTGAGAAATTTAACCACTTTACACAGACCTGCAATTTTTACTAAGCATTCTTAGCGTTTCTGATATAATATGGGGCTTCAATATCAGTTCCTCGACCCCACTTGTTTCTCTGTAGTCAGTTTCAACTGTCTTGATGATTGCTTATATTATTTCATTCGTGTTCTTTTCCTTCATGCTGTTTATTGAGTTTTTTCTCATTTTATTCATCTACCTGTATATGGTATTCTAAAATATATTTGGTTTTTGCAAGGGTTTTCGTGCTTTGTCTTCCGTTTTCAGATTAGTCTGTGGTGCACGGTGTATGTGTGAACTCTTGTTTTTTCGTATTCATGTAATATGTTGCCACCTGATTGTTCTTCCGGCGTGAATGCTCGTACGTGGCTCACTCATTCGGTGTGATATCATTTAGCGCAGTCGTGAGCTTTCTGACCGAGCCAGTTAAGAGATAATTTGTACGGTATTCTTATTTATTAAATTTGCCAATTTGTCAGTGGTATAAAGATAATTCTCATCAGGGCACACTACCATTTCACATGCCTTTTAACTTCGAGTTCGTTAATCTTTCCCTACACGTTAGGTAGATTGCTGATTAGGGTATTAACAGGCGAAGTCTTTAGTAAGTGCAGTTAATTAAGGTCTGCTTTAAGTATAACCAACCACTTACAAGTGAACTTTTTTTTAGCAAGGTTAGCACTGTTTTAAATCATATATATGCACATATAGGTATATGTAAAAGAACAAAAGTATATTTACCTCCAATATTTGATTGAGGTAACTGTTGTTCAAGGATCTTGTATGACTTTGGTTGAACATTCTTAAATGTTGGACCACCATGTCTCCATAAATGTTCTTCAACTATTTCAGCTCGTGGTTCAGGTGAACCAGATGCTTGTTCTACTGGTCTGTTAGCAGCAGCTATCTGTTGCATTGTCTGATTATATTGAACCACATTGAAGTCACGTCTAAACAAAAATTATAAAATAAGACTCATGTATAAATAAAAGCTACACTAATAGCAACAAGGATAAGATGCGTTGATAGTTCAAGGGAAGAACGCTCGCCAACTAAACAATATGATCATGTTTCGATCCTCACCTGATGTACTGCTAAATCTCACCTGGTCAGTGGTAAGTGTGGAAAAGAGGTAGGTATAAGCGTATGTCTAGCAACCCAATACCGCAGAAAAAACACCACTGCTACTCAGACCTCAAACGTTGAAGCCCTATGTTCTACTTGGAGTGCAAAGTAATGTAAGTGAAGGATTCTGAGTTTTACGCTGAAGAAGTAAATAGCTGAAATGTTTATGATTATTAAAGTAAGCTATCATTTACAGTATTTAGGCTAGTGTAAAGCAGTCTATTTTTGTCCATACAGACAAATGAACAGAAGGTATTTCAAGTAATAAAAATAACTCGAAATAACATTGAACAAGTGATATGTCATTTTGTGACTTTCTCAATGTCAAGTAAAGTATGAACTATACTGTTTGTTTTATTTAAAGAATAAGGTTAATATTTGTGTGGGTTGATGTATCTATTGGAAATGTTTAAATGTACGTGAGTGAATCATGAAATCGAAAATTGACGGGTGTGATTCTAAAGAAGACGTTAGTTATTTTTCTGCTAGGGGAAAACGGTATAAGTGAGATGAGAATCACTACTGTTTCAAGTTAGAAAATTAGGAGAGCATATACTCACAGTTAGTTAATATTCGACTTTGTTATTGTTATATTATTATTATTCCTTTGGGTTCCGAGATTAACATGGGGCTTCAGCAGCACATGTTCATTTTGTCCTCTTCTCTGAAGTCCTATAAAGCTGGCTCCACGAATTACCATAAGCTTTCACCTCCTCACCACACCATCTTCTCCATGCTAGCCCTGAACGCCCAACACTTCACTTCCCACTCGGATTTCACTGGATAGTCAGCCACTAGAGAGTGATATCAATCAATGATCTCAGTGTGTGGTCAGTACATCTCTGTTTCCTTCGGCATATTTTTTGGGCAATAGGTTGGTGTTTGGTCCGCTGCCAGGGTTTCTTCTTGTCAGTCCCTTCTGGACATCTAATCTTCAATATAGAGGGAAGGCAGATGTAGATAAAAGTCTACAGCAGTCTGATGGAAATGCTTTCAGTGAAATAGTGAGTCTCTGAACCATACAGAAGCACTGACATGGCTTTACTTCTTGATTTTAAAGAAGTTAAACTTAACAAAAACACCCATCTGAGTTGCACACATGTGTATCTTTGCTAATGAGAAAGATGCTTCAAAGTTACGTTAGTAAAAGGATTTGTATTAATAGCATGTATACATATATATACCTATTAATTCTAGAAAAACTATTATATGTTGAATAGTATGCACAACCCAATCTATGTCATCACTAGCATTTTGCAAAATGTACTTTATTTATGAAGAAGAAAATATACTTATCCTCAGCAGGTCAAAAGTGACATTTTTATTAGGATGCTTCTTGAAGTAGATATATCACAAAATTAATAAAGCATAAATTAATTTTGCATAATTTATTTCTCATTAACAGTTGTCATGATAGCTAACAGATTATAAATTTGCATTTCGAATGAATTTATCCTTTAGCACAGGAATTATGTATTATCTGAATAAAGTTTTTCAATGCTGTAGTCTATCACCTGAGTAGTATCAGTTAGTCAGAACCAACTATTGTTTAAAGGATATGTACTTTATTTATTGAGCTTTTAATATATATGTAAAACTTAGGCACTGTGGTAGTATGTAATTCCATATTAATTTGTTTATTAGATATATTACACAGTGGAACAGTATTATTTGCTGGATGACAAGTTTTCTCATACAGCTTATTGTTCATAATCATATCAGTTATCATCACACAACTTCGAAATTTCCCTATCTATGACTTTCTTTACTCCTTCCTATTTGTCGTAGCGGTAGTAGAATTTTTCAGATATCTGGGACACATGTTGAATCATTCCTATTACACGTGTTTGCAGTTGATTCGATAAACAAAGCTTCCGTTATCAATCTCTCTCCCTCCACGCTGTTACATTAGATTTTAAAACTCTCATCTTATTCCATCCTATTGTATGGTTGTGTGTAATTGCATGTTGTGAGTGGTCTTGTTAAACTATTCTCCAGATTTCTTATCTAGATCTAGATTTTGCTGGGTTTTCGTGCTCCGCTAGTCTGACTGTCTGACCCCGTTTTGTCACTTCGCCTCATGTATTTGACCTGACAATCATTCCAGCAGGGTAGTAGATAAACTAAATTGTTTTGTTTTAAAGGCTCCACAGGATTGATCCTTTAACCGACAAAGCTTGTTTCTAATTGAGTTTGTGGGTGGTTTGAATGCCAATTTTATTTTATCATCAGTAGTTCTTCAATACAAAGAAGGAACCTCAGAGAGCTTACAGAGAATTTTTAACAATGCAGGAATAAAGGTGGCTGGTATTCAAATAATACCATTTAACTGTGTGATTTATCTAATAAACAAATTAATATCAAATTGCTTTGTGCATTTAACAAAATTGAGATTTCTGGTATACTTTTCTGTCGTTTTACATTGCGTTTCAAGTTTATTGTTGTTGTAAGTAACAATAAGTGTAGGGATTTTTTTATCTGACAGTTTGATAAATTTGATCTGAACACTTCTGAATAAAGAAAAATCGTGGTTATACGATTAGAACTACGAAGTCTTTTATATTACTATCAACATTAATTCACCCGATTGTAGGAAATTTCAAGTATTCGTTTGTAGGGATTTGATTGATCGGTTACAGGATTCCATCATGAGCCGACATCGGTTGGAGGACCATCGGAGCACCTGAGAGTACTTGACAACTCCTTCGCCCTAGTCATGAACCCTTCATCAGTACGCACCCACCTCTAGGGTCCGAACCCAGCACCTTCTGGTTACAAGGCCAGCTTGCGGACCACTAAGCCACTAGGACCCGATCCAATGGCCCGTGAATTCCAACTAATGCATACTGTAATCTTGAGACTGGAATACTAATATGCATTTTATTTATACTCTGAAAAAAGTTATTGTAAATGAATAGACGATATTAACAATAATCGATACGGATGAAATATGGTGAAGCTAACAAATTCATGCTGATTTTGTCTAATTTCAAAAGAAAATAAGTATGAAATTAAATAGTGGACAGTGTTATTTTAATTTTCATGAACAACATCTTTGTCTTAGTAGATGGTGAGTAGCAGTGGATTCGAGGATGCACATTCCGTCCTATTTGGGACCCATCATCTGGATGTGCCTGCATTCCACAGTGAGTGGTGATGTTCTCACCGAGACTCGAACCCAGTGGCCACAGTTTCAAACGCCGAAGCATCTGCATAAGAAAAAGATATGTCAATCTGGGACCGAGCACTTTTGTCCAATCAACTGATGGGAAAATCCAAAATTGAATTAAACATCTTTGTCTGTTGTGACTACAAGCATTTCTTGACAACCTAAAAGGAATATTTTAATATCCTAAATCATATTCTTATCTGAACAAAGAATAGTTTGATATTCAAGATGATAATGTCAAGTTTTACATTGTAACATTTTAAACAGCTGCTAGTAATAAAATCTGTGACATTTCACCAAACGCTAGGCTTTCGGAAATATACAGAAAAATTTTTTTTAGTAAGTAGGTTATAAATGAAAGTCAAATCATCTCAAAACAAATTATTATTTCTACCATTACAATAGGCATTGTCTCATTATTTGAAGCCTAAGCTTCACACCAGTTTAACCAGCCTTTGATATTTAAGGCCTTAAATCAGTTACTATCTTCATTTCCGATTGAATAAACTTCACTGGTCACGATTTAAACTTAGAATTTTAAATAATTTATTTCATAATTTGTCATTAATAAATCTTGGGTCTAGATGTATTTGGTAGGTGTGTGATAATTTTATTAGTGTCCACAAACCGGAGTTATCTAGAGAGTAAGAGATAATCTCAGAGCTTTTAAATGATTCTTAAAGCTGTTGTGGATGAGCACAGTTGATGAACTTCAAGGTGAGATAAAACAGTAGTACCGGTTTTCATGACTTTCAGTAATATTCTAGATGACATAAATTTGTAATAAAAATTCCATATATAAATCAGTTGGACTAACACATATCCAAGGACTAAATAACTAAGCTTTTATAACGAATTGTATTACTTCAGATATTGTATCCCTATTTTGTCTTTAAGAATTTTATTTTATTTTTTTAATTTTTGGCTACAGCTTGATTCCACACCGTATTTTTGGTGCAAGTATGGAATTTTCAGCGTGGTTATCGGTAGCCCGAATTTCGCAGGCCGACCATAGATATTAGGTGTGCGTCGGCGTGGGCTCGAACCTCGGACCATATGCATGGTCGGCGAGAGTCCTAACCACTGTGCCATATGTATCTATTTTCTTCAGTTTATCTTGGCAAATATTTAAGCTTACTTTTAGGTGATTTACATTTTGATATAATTTCCCTAAATCGAGAAAAGTTGTTTGTTTTTTTCACATGGTGTACAAATATTCTACACGTAAATATTAGATAATGTTTGAATACCATTTTCACCCTTATTTTACATTTTTTGTTTAAACTAATTCACTAGAAGAAAGTTAGCCTTATAATACCTGTATTTCTTGTGTGTAACTGAAAAGTTATAGTAGGAACGTATTCAATTAAAATAGAACTGAATTGTTTAAATGAATTAAAAATGAAGGTTATAATAAATCGATGAGTTCTGTGGCATGTCTTCATTACTGTGTATGAAATGTATGAACGCATAATTAAGCGGTTAACTGTTAGTTAATTATGTTTGGCATGTTTAGCATTAGTGACAAATAATTTGTTGAGCAATCGACTGAAATGGCTGAATTTCAAAAGACATTTAAAGTATATATATATATAGTACAGAAGAGCATTTTATTTTCATAACCCACCTCAGGGAACGTTGTCAGGAGAACTTACTTCATAAAAATTTAATTTTTAAGAAGAATCAATGAAGGAGTAGGAAATGAACTTTTTGGACAGACATCTTTGATTGGCTCAAGTTAAATAAAACCAATCTTACTACAAATTTATACTACAACGTCATTAACTTCCGAAGTCTAAAAGATTCTAAAGTAGATGAGTTGCTTACAGCGTCGACTTCAATCATGACTAAACTGTGTATGTATTTTGTGACGTTAAATTGTCTTCAGTTGCAAAACTTTCGTTTCATTCAAATGAACATCTATGCATTTTCGGAAATAATGTCCAAATAATTTCAATTTCTAGTCGATCTTACTAACTTTACAAATTACATCTGAGAACTTTTAAAGCTAATAAACTCTAGAAATGTTAGCAGATACGATATACTTTCTGAATAACTAAAAAACTGTTCATACACTTTACAGTTTATTGACCTATCCAATCTAGGTACTAGTGATTTGAGAGTTTTGTTGGTTAGTCAATTTTATTTGAGTGTAACGTTGGCCAGTCAATTGTGAAATGCATAAAGCTATCAATTGCTGTTCACATTAGAATATACCTAATACCTGAAATCTGAAAATCTGCAATGTTGTTCTCTAGCCACTTATTTATACATTTCTGAAGTTTATTTTATTCTCCGATTGTACACCTGGTAGCAACTGGTGTCATGAGTCTGATCACTTTTTTTGGTGCATTCTGAATTCTGTCAGTCAAGTTTGCAATGTGGCCACCATTCTAGGTGGTTCCCCAACTTGGTGCACTCAAATCCAATGATCAGATTGATGGAGACAATCGTCAGGAAGCCTTGGACCTAAATTTCATACTTGTCGGTATTCGTGAGCAAGGCGTATATGCAGTCCTAAGGTGGCGTTTGTCTTTTCAGAGATTCAAAACCGAGTCACTCAATTGTGCAGCCAGAGATTTTACCACTTAGCTATTTGGGAAGTTGATGTTATGAAAATAAGTCATAGGCTTTGTTGAATAGCTTGAAACCAACTTCTCAGCTTATAATTAATCAATGCTTTCCATTTACGAGGTTTTGTGTGAATCTACTGCAAATTTACCTATACTTTATCAGTAGTATATAAAGACATTCATCTGAATAAAAATATCAAACAGCGTACAGAGAGATTTGACGTCAAAGAGATCAAATGATTCAGAGTTGCGGCAAAACATGGAAGACACGAAAACAAGACAAAGAAACACAATACGAAGGGCAGAAGTAGCACAATACAGAAGATCTGTGCAAATGACGATTTTCAGGTAGGATGTACATAATTTCGCTATATACAGATACCCAATTCCAAATAAATATTCCTTTGCCGAGACTCTTGTCTTCTACGGTTACAATAAAACTACTAGATTCAGTAGTCCGTTTTATGCATATTCATGTTAATAATCAATTTAATTTCCTCCTTGATAGCAAGTAGTTTTTACATAGGAAATACAATAAAATCCATTGAAAAAGACAAAAATAATTAAATAATGTCATACTAATTTGAACTTACTTTTTAACCATAAAATCTAAATCATTACCAGCCCTTAAAATTTCTGCTTTCACTTGAGCATGCGTCATTCCAGTCACTGGTGTAGCACAAATCTTTATTACTACATCTCCAGGTTCAAGTCCAGATTTATGCGCTATCCCATTACGAGTGACCTAAAGATGAAAAGAATGTGCAACAAAGTAAAATAGACTGATCATTATGAAAGTAAAATAATCTGGGATTGTATGGAACTTAGTTTCTCACTTAGTCAACAAAAATTTTCATATATAATCTAACAAAAATATATATATATTTCTTTCAGGCTAATTTGCACTCCCCATTGATTATATTGAGTCTAAATGCTTGATCTCTATTGATATGTCAGCTCCTGTTGAGGGCGCTTAGATGATATCTGGAGATTCATATGTTGTTATATTTATAGACGGTGACTAGGAGTGGAATCCAGAATGCACATTTCGTTTTATTTTAGACTTCTTATCTGGATGCACCTGCAACTGTGATGAGTGAGGATTGGAGCTACAAGAGGTGACTATCGTGGCCCATCGCATTGGTGAATAACGCCTTCGTGTTGAAAACGACGGGTGCAGGGTTCGAGTCTCCGTGGGAGTAGAATCAGTCACTGGAGATACAGGTATATCCGACTGATGAGTCCCGAATAGGAAGAAATGTGCATCCTGGATTTCACTGTTGTTCACCACCAACCAAAATAAAAATCATATTCGGCTAATCACACATAAGTCTGATTAACAAACTGACTCGTGTGTAAATGAATGCCGGAAGCTTATAGATCACATGAGTTGCTACAAATATTTATCGAAACATTAATATCGTACTATTATAATTTAACCAGGACACGTAGATTCTATACAGATATCTTCATTTAAAATGAAAAGTTGAAGTAGTCTTTAACAAAATGTGGTACAATGTAAATCTTACATTAGTGTGCTTATTTTGCGAATTTATTAATGTGATGCGTTATCCACTGTTATTTATAATGTCTTCGTTTTTAATCAGGATAGGAAAAAATGAAAATGAAATCCTTGGGAATACACTTGTTCTACAAACAAAGATTGAACCAATAGAATTCAGATCAAACAGTTAATGAGCAGTCTTAAAAATGAATCTTGTCCATAAGAAAAAAATAACTGTTATTAATTAAAGTGACATGAATCAACAAAGTCAACAAGATTAACAATTTTTTTGTCCCTAGACAGTTTTTTATAGATGTATTGATATACATGACAGTGTTTGACATCACCATTGCAGAAAACGACTTGTTAACTGGGAAACAGCTCCATAACTTAGAACATTTAAACACCAAAGTTTCTTTACATGAAGAAGCTGACAAAATGCAGTCTTCTGAAAGTACTGAGCGGAAACTTGACTATATTTGGCATGTAATTAACTCTCGCAGATGGAAGAGAATGTTAAAGGACTGATCTCTGTAAGGAGGATTAGCTTGAAGATATTAACTGAAGATATTAGACTAATTCAGAGAAACGTATTAACCCCTTATGGAATCTATCCCAATGAAACTGTCGTATTAAAACAAACGTCCTTAACACCACCTCTCAATTTGAGTCATTTCTCAAGCCAGTGAGATATTCAGCCGGCACTAAGTGACCATTTGTATTGAGAAGCAGTTCACCTCATCACATTGTTCGCTTCTGAGATGTGGTTATGGAAAGTCTAATATGTGAGAAGACTAAAAATCATTTATTATACTTTTCCTAGTTCAGTTGCTTGTATGAGATGGAAGCACATTATAAGTAATAATGCGATTAGATAATTAGCGAGTTGAGTAAAATTGTGAAGGTAAATGTGGACGTTTATCGCCCCTCCTAATTGGAATATTTATTACATATGATGAGCCACCGTACTTCCAGAAGACTAGTTGAGTCTGAAATGTAATTACATTGAGCAAGAGTAACGTATGGTCAGAATAAAAGAAGAAATTAAATTCAATAAGGTAATTGACGACTGGTTTAGGACACGCAGGTGAGTGTAGTTTGCTTGACTGAAGCTTTCAGACTTCATGTTACTGAAATAAAAACACTTTTTAATTTCACATGAGGCTTTCCTAATACGAACAGATAGTATTTTAGTAATCACTCCTCATTTATAAACGCTTAACTAACAGTTAACAAAGTAGCTACACTGAAGTATTCTGATAAATTATAGAAGAAATCATGTTACTTTCAATAACCTTATGACATTTAATTAATTTCAAAGATTTAGCTTATTTCTGTTAACACGTTTCAGTTTACAGTTGTTTCTTCGAATAAACGGTATTCACAATAGAGTATCTAGTTTTCAAGTATACGTAAAAAAATGAATTTCGGTGAAAGGATGTTATCAAATTAGCTACATAAACTCATGACTAGAATACGTACCTTAAACTTAAGAATGTAATATGGGGAGTAAGCAACCTTTCGTATGCTCGAACAAAACAAATTTCCGAGAGCAGACGGGTTATTTCATTTCGCTTCTACAAGAAATACGAGGTTTTAACAAACTAACATGTTTATTGAAAATGCGGAACTGTTAAGACACAGTTACATCACCTGACTATCTCAGTCTAACCACCTGATGATAATAAGACAAAATATTGATTAATAAATAAATTAACAAGTATTGAGTTGTAGGTTTTGTTTGATTGGTTAGAGGACTTCATTATTAGCTGATATCGGTTAGGGAACTATTGAAGAACCACCCGGAAGTACTAGACATCTGTTTCATCCTAGTTTGGGACTCTTCACAGCGCGCACCCACCGACAGGACCTTCTGGTTACAAGGCGAGTTCGTAGACCATTAAGCCACTGGGCATTCCATGAATTCCAGCTTCTGCGAATTCACGACGTAGTGCAACAAATACTCGAATACCAATAAGATGCTCACTAACGACTGGCCCTATTCAGGTTAGTAGTTACCTGGGTTTCTAGTGGGAAGTCGTGGCCAGTACAGTACAGCAGGTAGAATATGAGGACAGTTGGTCATTGAAGAAGATATTGCAAGGTGGTCACGCTATGTCGTGAATTAGCAGAAGTTGGAATTCGCGGAATGGCCAGTGGATCAGGTTCCAGTGACTTAATGATCTACGAGCTCGCCTTGTAACCAGAAGGTCCTGTCGGTGGGTGCGTACTGTGAAGAGTCCCAACCTAGGATGTCTAGTACTTCCGGGTGGTTCTCCAATGGTTCTCTAACTGATATCAACTCATGATGAAATGATTTTTAACCTTTGAGAATATTAGTCCGTATTAGAGCAGAAATAATGTAGTGTAACCAGTAATTTTAATTTTTAGAAGCTAAAAGCGTTTGGGGAATTCGTAGAGTATACGATACTGAATATTCAGCGTAGCTGAAATCAATTTCAACGAAAATAAATCTGGTTAAGTTTTTAGGGTTTACATGATCACGAATCTATTTCATCCAAACAGCCTTTAAAGACCAAGGAGTATCTGATAGCTTTTTCATGTTTTTGCTGTAGTCCACTCCTCCTTAGTTCTCTATCTGGTGTTAATGAGTGACGAAATCAGTTCATTGAATGAATAATTAGCTGCTGTTTCAGTTATTAAGAATATAAGTATCCTTTGACTGACTTTAGCATTTACCATTTGTGAGATGCTTCTTTAGGAGTGATTCAACCCATGCAATAACAATGAACACAGTTTTCGTACATATTCTTTTTTTCAATACAAATATATTTGCATGCAAATGCTTTTCTCTACTTAAAAAAAAAACTAAGTTTATCATAAGGGCGCCTTAGACACCGGACTGAAATTTGATACACTGCATAGTTTGTATGTAATGACTAGACTAGTAAGTTTCAAGTTTCTTGCTTCCATAGAATTCGCTAACTTATTTTAATCGAATTTATATTCAATTATTCAGATTAAACAATCAATTTAACATAAATTAACTAAAGAACACAAATATCTGTTAGCCTGAACAAATAGAAAAAACTGTCTATAAAGTGTTGGTTTTCATTCAAATTAGATTTCACCAGGTAAGCCAAATCAGTTACAGAAAGATTAAAAACTATGGAGTAATGAACAGTTGCTTTTGCCTAGAGTAGGACTTTTCATCAGTATACATACATGAATATGCCGTCGACCAAATCCAGGTCCACCATGTTACGAGGAGAACTCATCACGACACTCAACCAGTGAGATAGAATTCACTGGACAATGAAATCTAACTTACGAAAGTTTTTGATATCTAACATCACCACCAGCATTATTATTGGTGCGTGCCTTTCCTAACATTCTATTTCGTTCAGTCCATAGGTCACGAGTTCTTCTTAGAACAATTGGAAGCCCATTCCACAGTCATTCAATAATAGGCAGCTGAGTCATTTTCGAGTATTGTTTTATGGGGATTTGGATGATTTCAAGGTGAATTTAATCGATGGAGGTTAAATCCATTTAACTGGACTAGGGAAGGTGAAAGTACATCAGTACTTATTCAGTCGATACCATTCGGTTGATTAGCTCTTGCTACTGAGTACTCATAGTGGCTCATAATGAAGTTAGTTTATTCTATAGTATAATGCTTGATATATATACAGGAATTTCTTCTGATAGACTGCTAACATCAGATGTCAAACAATTCCCTATTGAGTAAAGCAGTGTCATCTCCCTTGACCTAGTGAGCACATTTTTCGTAGATTAGTGGCTAATTTCAATCAAAACTTTGAACTTAACCACCAAATTGACATTCACTCCACTGCGGATATGTTGTAATATGAGTAGATCAGAGATTAATTTGTTGACTTTATCCATGATGCCTAACACTTTGAATTATTGAGGGTGTTTAGTTTTGACAACAGATCATAAGGCTTCCTGAAAATAAGCTTCTAAGATCTGCTGTTATGTCATACGATAAATATATCAAGAAATTAGGAGGTAATGTATTCAAGGTATAGAGACAATTTTTAGAATAACGCTGTTAGGTTGCTAGGTAATCAAATGAAAAGTTATCGGCACAACTTAGATGCTATGCAGTTTTTTGAAGCAGTAAATCATTTGGGCGGGAAATAGTACTTCCATGTGATGAAAGACAGATGAAAGGCTTCTCTTCTGGTGTTATTTCCCCATGATATCCATTACCCTTAGACATCTGAATGTACTGATTACTGTGAAGTGCACCAGAAAAATAGCTGATATGTATTACCTGCATGACGTTGAAATCCAATACTTTAAACAAGTAAAACTCTTCGAAATCATTGAACAGACAACTGGATCTTAATTGCATTGATCTTATTAGGACCATCGACTTTATTTATTGTGAAACTCTTATTGATTTTCCATATAGAATAACCAACTTCTTTTCCAAAATCATCTGACAACGATTTTCTCTGGGATGCTAATTTCAGACAAAGTTCGATTGGATGTGACTGATGAAAATCTCTATCTAGTAAACTACCCTGCGTCATCAGGAGATTAAATCAAAGTGTAATCTAGTTTTCTCTGTGTTGCCATTTCAACATGACATCTGACTAGTTTTAAACATCTGTATTACCACACGATAAGTATTTTATGAACAGAATCTTTAGTTTCTTCAATTCGTAAAAGCATTTATAAATGTACTGTTCAAACTAATAACAATCACAAGATTAGACTAGATGACATTAAAGTAAATATCACATGGTTTTAATGATTGCCTCAGTAGTAACCTTTAGATTGCAGATCTAAGTGAATGTAGCTCTTATTTTTGGGAAACGACTGTTTTTATCAAGGTTGTGTTAGCATTACTGCCTAGAATCACTATACAGCGTACCTACCTAAAGGACATTACTCAGACTGTCTTCATAATATAGTACTGAAACAATAGCTTGTCAGCTGGATGACAGATATGCTCTTTTATTATTATTATTATTTTTCCCTAAGGCTTCGAAAACACACCTCCACTTTTTTCTACTTTCTGCCGTCTTCTACACCTGAGTCCATGATTGATCATAACCTCTCATCTCTTCCTCACACGATCTCCTCCATGTCACTCTCGGACGATCCACTCGTCGCTTCTCATTTGAATTCCACTCGCGCAATGACCTGCATTAAGCCCCATTTCATTCGAAGGTCTCCTCAATGTATGCCCGGTCCATCTTCATTTCCTCCTATGTATTTTCTGAACTATTGGTTCTTGGCTGGTTTGTTCCCACAGTTACTTGTTGCTAACTATTTCTGGCTGGCCATTTGATCTTCAGTATAGAGCAAAGGCAGCTGCCTGTAACTTGTTGAAACTGCTTTTCGTAACACGCTGGTCAAGTTTCTGACCCGTATAGAAGAAGTGGCTTACTTGACACTGGTGTTGGAAATCCTAATCTTGTTCTTCGTGCATCCGATTTAAAAACTGGTTTCGGGTAGGTGGAGGTGTATCTTGCCTTCCTGATTCTGGTCTGCCTTGACATCTTCATCCGCGCCATCCTCCTGTGGCTGAAAACGTGCTTCCTGGTCAGATAAGTGAAGGAATTAACCTCTGTCGAATCTCTCCCGTTGATGGTGGTTGATACTAGTTGTTTTTGCTGTTGGTTGGTTAACTTTATCAACTCCGTCTTCTCTATGTTCACTTGGAGTCCTGTCTTCGCTGCCTGTCTCCTCAGCCAGTTTGTTGGTTTTCACCCGCGAGTCTTCGAGTTTGTGTGACATTAGACATATATCATATGCGAAATCCTGATCTACCAGAGTCTTCTTATCAGTGTTCTAGTGTATCTCTGTCTGTTTGCTTCCCACAGTCTGATGCATAGTGCAGTCCATCAAAATTACGAATATCATTGGCGGTAATAAGTAGCCAGTTTGTCTTACTACTGAATTCACTTCCAACTCCTCGCTGAGTTCTAAGTTGTGGATCACTTGACACCAGACATTGTCATATAGCTAGCTGTTGAATTAGGTTGACAAAGATTTGGAAACTGCACGCCATTGTGTTGAAGTAGTTTCCAAATTACTTTTCCGTCAATGCTGTCGAAGACCTCATCAAATTTGATGAAACTAACGTAGAGGTTTGACTACCATTCTATGCTTTGTTCGATAACGATGCGTGGAGTTGCAATTCGATCAGCACATTATTTGCCCTTCCTCAATTCAGATTGTTCCGGTTAGCGGAGTTCTGTATCCAGTGCATCCTTTATTCTCTCCAGGATGACGCAACTTAGTACTTAACTTTGCATTAACAAGAGGGTTGTTCCATGCCAGTTCTTGATGAGGTGTAACTCTCCCTTGTTTGGCAGCTTGACAAGGTAGTTTTTCTTCCAGTCAATAGGTACCTTTCTTCCCTTCCAAATGTTTTGCAAAAATTGCGTCAGCATATCTGCCTCAGTTTCTGGGTCCGTTTTCAGTGCTTCGGCGGGAATCCCATGTGAACTGAAGGTCTGGGTTATGGCAAGATTCAAACCTGTGGTCTTCGTGGTAGTTGCTGGAATGAAAATACCTTAATGACTATCTAGTATGATGATAATAATTTTGTACTCCATATTTTCATGACAAACCAGTTTACTGTGTATGAAGAGTAAAGTTAAGTCTTCATTATTTTTTCGCTTGTACACATTAACGGTTAGAATACTAACGTGATGACTCAGGAACTCTTGGTGTTAATCCACACGTGAATTACTTTTTCGTCTCACATTCAGTAGTAGTGGCATTTCTATAAGATAAACTCACTGAAATGTATCCATCACAGCTAATCTCAATAACATCTATACTTTTTACCATGAGTTCTAAAATAGCCCATTTAGGTTGTCTGTAAGTATCGAAGTACTTCCTGTGGTGATGCCACTTTACCTAAAATAATTAAATTTACCTCTAAGAATTTAATTATTTCACCATATTCCGTTGCGAATATGGGAGATAAGACTGTGTTGTGTACAAAGCATTCAATAACTTAATTCTGTCAGATATTACTGCATCGGTTTGATAACTTCACTAATCAAAATGTCAACTCTTTTTAGTTTTTATACTGACGTACATATTTAACATCAGGTTAACAATCTAATCTCAGTGCCAGCTGACTGTCTATTGTAAATATTTTTAAATTTTAAAATAATCTATTCTAGAATACTTTGTCTAACGCAAGTGACAAACAGACATTGTACTTATTCAAAATTAAATATACTCCTATTTTATCGTCAGCTGAATACTTAACCTTAATTGTCTTCTTTTAATATGCGTGTCGACCTAAGTGACGCATTTACTTCGTGATATTCTTCTTCAATTAAAAGTGTAGTAGACAAATAAATCGTTAAAAATTATTTGTCCTTCACCTATCAGATATGTCAGTTAAATATAGAAAAAATATATCTTTCTTGTTATTTGGTCCTATAGCCTTTAGGAATGTGGGATCTAATTGTTATTTTGTAAATAAAATATTGGATTGGGTGACGTGTACGGTAGTTAAGTAGTAATTTGATTACATCACATACAGTTGTTGTATACAAATCTAATTTATTCATGTTTCTTAGACTATGCAATATTACAGGAATTTTTTTACTGTCTAAATCTTTAAAAACAACTAACTACAAATGGTTGTTACTTTCTTCTATGGTTCAATAATAAATCTTTCGAATATACTGACCAACAGTTTATTTCCCAAGGTCGTCTGTGCAGATGCAAAATGATTGGTTTAAAAATTCACTACACTTTAGGTCATATTTATAATGAAGCGGAGGTGTGTAAGTTGCCAGTTAACTGATATTTTTTTACGGTAGGCTTAGACATAAGCCAAACTATTAGGTGGTTTAATTTCAACAGAGATTTCGAAAAAGAAATGAATGAGATTAGTGAACTTTTAACTGAGGTATTTTATTTCAGTTAAAGAAAACAAGACGTCAATTCTATCTACATTTAGAGGAAAATATTTCAAGCACACTTAAGCTTCATGAATAGTTATACTTGAATCATTCTAAACTGCATTTAACTTAACAGGTACTAGTATGTTTTTGTAAGCATATATAGAAGAATACCAACTTTACTTTAAACCAGTTTAAAAACCAGTGATCATTTTTAAAACAACATTATTCGTGTTTTAATATTACTTTTTCGTGATTGTAATGAGTGAATGAGTATATAAGTTATAGCAAAACAAATTTGCTTCGATTTTGTTTCAATAGACTTGAAAAGGCAGAAGGCAGGCGGTCAATAACGATTTGAATTTCCTCAAGTAGCTCGTCTCAGTGTCTGATTTTGTAATACATGCTTAAAGGAGCACTGTAATCGTATCAGGTGTTACGTTTGGCTGTTTTAATAGTGGTATATCGACCTTTTAACTCGGTTAAAATATCTTCTGTGGCGTTTGATACATTGTGCGCGAGAACACCTCACAACAGGTTTTATCTTAAGCCCTAGAATTCATGAGTTTGAATTTAAAATCTTATATCATACTTTATTCCGTTTAAAGAAACTTTAGATCACATGCTCCTATAAGCATACTGATAATAGTAAAATGACCAGCTATATTTATGATTGTACTTGCGTTTCATACGCTATGTGTGGCTGTTTTCACTTATCACTGAAAAGAGTGGATATTCTCAAAGTTTTCATAAAGATTTATAAAATACAAGATTGACTAATTAGAGGTTAAGGGTTATTATTTAGTGACAGTTCCTAACTCCAACCCCCCTAGTTGAATGACAATATCCTTAATACAAGATCTGAAAACTCACTTCTTTGATCCTCAAACAGGCCAGGTTACTCACATTGCCAAACTGGTGTAGAGCTGAAGTGAAACAGCTACATTATTGTCAAAACTTTTATAAATATTATTTTTATATCATGAAATGAGTCTTTAATAGATGAACTGATCATAATTTACTTATTTAAATATTTTTTTATCGAGTATTATACTACTCAGTGAGAAAAATAGGAAAAACAACAACTCACTTTGTGAACGAATACTGGCAAACCTTGATCTACGCCACCTTGAAGTGCAAATCCCCAAGATTTATCTGATGTTGGTCTTCGAAGACTGATAACAACTGGTTCAAGTGCCATAATAATGACGATGATAATAATAGTAGTAAATAGTAGTATTAATAAGAAGAATAAAGGTTAAAGATTCCGGTTAATAATCGAAAAACTGAGAAAAAACAAATTTTCTGCAATAATTCAAATTGCAAAGTGATATAAATGATTGTGAATTTTTACCATTGAAGAACTTTTATTACATTACAGCAGTTTGTGTAAATTGGGATGTCTTCTATATTGACCAATCAGAAAAAGGACTAGTGGAGAGAAATTGAAACTTTACCTTCATTATTATTTTATCTGTAGCACAACACTAAGCTAAAAGGAATTGTGCAAGGGAACTTTACAAAAAAGGCAGTGTCTAGGCTGTTGGTTAAATTTCCCTATAATTTCACCTCACCTTAAATGTATATTTTGTTTATGTTTATAAATTTTTAGTGGGTGTGACTGTATGTGTGTGTACATGCATGTTTATGTAAGCAAATCCATAACATACACTATACTAATAAATACCAATAAAGTAGCACACACAACGGAATTCTTAGTTTTATTGGTTGACTTAATGACACACAGGCTGGTCTACTTTTATTCATATCGATTTTAATTCTAGTTATTTAAGATTTCCAGAACATATAATTTTTGTTCATTTCCTGCACACAGTCAAAGATATGCACAATCGATAGCTTAATATCGTATGTGATTTTTTTTTGAAATGAAGTTACTTTTAGTGAATAACCAATGTCTAAAATAAACGAAAGATAACAGTTCGCCTACTACACTAAAAGCATATTTGATTGTTTCATAAAGAGCTAAATATAACATCGTAATTTAGTAAGGACAGTCAGTCAAACCATATGATCATTAATAAGATGCAAGTTTAGAGGTGATTGCTTGAAGGTTACATGATGCTTATTGCGTAAGAAAACTTAAAACATTGGCCAGTACTGATCTGTGGTATATATATATATATATTAGTGTGACGTCATCCTATTTTTGCTTCCCTTATTGATTCCTATTTATGTTATCAAGTAGACCACATATTGTGAGCCTGATACTTTTGATTTTCAAAGGAAAAATTGGTGAACACTACAATTTAAACGAGGTGATTTGAAAATGACAAATTTCTGTTATAATCCTAGTTCACTGCTAGGATACGACGTAAAAGGCAGTGAGGTGGATGAAAAGTTCACTACCTCACTTATTCAGAAAGTTCCATCAATCATCGTGGAAACAGATTTTAGTATCAAAACAAATTCTTTCAACATCTCTTAGTTTGGGTCATTTTCCAAACCATTTCAACATTCTGCCAGTCAAACTGCATGATTGTTCAACTTCTCTCATTGTTTGTCTTTGAGATGTGACTAGTGAAAGCAGAAGATATAAAGACACAACATATCACATTCCATGACTGTTCTTGATGAAGGACTCATGTGAAGTGGGAGGGGAATGCTGGTAAAAATGTGATAAGATAAATGGTGTTAGGTGGATTAAGCAAATCAAAAAATGTGGTTGTGAATCTTCACCATCTCTGTTGATCAAGATATTTACTAAATATGTTGAGCCCTTGTACATCCCGAAGACCAGTTTTGTCTAAATTATGATTAGAGTGGGCAAGAGTCGTGCATAGCCAGACTAAAAGAAGATATCAATTCCATGAAGTGATTGACTATAAGTTTGAGAAACGCGAGTGAATCTATCATATGACGTTGTGGAGATTCCGTAATTCAGTCACCAAACACTCTTGATAAAATGATTCAACATTAATAAAATTGGTTTAGATTTGTTCATATTTTATTAATAAGATGCTGTACATGTATGTTAATCCTCATTCATAACTCTATTGCACTCTTATGTGTCTGTATGTATCTCTATGCTTTTTCCAGCTGTTGCTAAGCGAGTTGATAAACATTTGCCATTTAGCGAATAGTATTTAAAATATATATTTTATATTTTAATTTAGTGGTGAATATGATGTTCCACTCGCTGAGGAGACCGCTGGGTGACATAGCGAGTCAAGCCCTTGAGTGGAACCTTAAAGGGAAGCGGCGAGTGGGACGTCCAAGGGTGACATGGAGGAGATCGTGTGAAGAGGAGTTGAAAGAGTATGGACTAACATGGATGCAGGTGAAAAGTACAGCAGAAGACAGAAGCAAGTGAAGACGTGCAGTTGAAGCCCTATGTTCTACTAGGAACCCAAGGGAACAATAATATAATAATAATGATGTCCCTTGCTACATGAATTGTTTTTATCAATAATTCCTCAAGAAAATAAGCCCTCTAATATCTAGCAAGCTAAAGTCTTGTACTTATCAGTGGCTGGGAATACAGCTAGGAGAAGACCTTCATGGCATGAGTGGTTTAATGGTAGAGTGCTCGCCAGTCACATGAGAGGCCTGGATCCGATTCCTGTCCAACACACTCCTAAACCCTCTCTAAGTGGTAGTAAACTCGAAAAATTGGGAAGGTTTTGGGTGAGGATATGTAGTAGTTATTTATAAATGTATTTCATAATGATCGAATCCCAGTAACTCAAACAACAACAAAGAGGGCAGGATTTAGGGATTTGTATTTGGCAGAATTATTTGTAATCCATGTAACAAATATTAATGAACAACAGTACGCATTTAAACAAAACAGTAACAGATATTGTCAGTCACGCCCGGATATCATCCATACACCACTCCTACTAAACCTTAAATCCAGAGCCTTTTTTCCCTTCAGAACGGAAAGAAAAGGACAGAGGATCTTCGTCATGATGGTAGTTTGCTGACGCTACAGACAGTAATTCATAATTTTTAATTTATTTCTGTACTTATCGATCAGAATATTTCTACAGTTAACGGCTTGTATACTAATTGCGTTGTTTGACTGAAGATGAATAGTAAGAAGGCTTCAACAAAACTGTAACAGATCATACCAGTAAATGTCAAAAGGGTTTCTTTGTTCAAAATATGATCTACGTGAAAAAAGATGTCTGTCAATAGGACATTTTAACACTAAAGAAAAAAAATTCATTCAAAGTTTAAGCCACATATTTTTGTTTTACATCTAACTATATAAGGTGAAAAAGTCATAAGAATATAAGAATTGACAGCTTATCTTTTCATACTTTGATGAATGCACTAATGGATACTGCGAAAAGAGGAACCATATTTCTGCAGACTCTTCAATTTCCTACTGAATAACGTGGCCTTCATCAAATATTAAATATCTGTTGTACATAAAGTATACAAAAGTTTGATTAATTCGTTCAGCCAGTAACAATTTAACCTTATTTTGTAAGATTGATATAAATTTCTTATATAACTGATGTAAAAACAGAATTTAAAGATGCAGTGGCCGATGAATACAAGTTAAAGTCAACAAAAATGCATTTATTGAAATAAAAATAAATTAGTACTCTGCTAGGCTTTCTTTTATTCTCTAGTCTTTATTATTTATTCACACATTGGGCTGAAATTATTCATTACTGTGTCAAGTTACAATGCATGCAGAAGAATAAGCGAACAATGGGGTAAACTAAAACATGAAATAAATCAGTTTTGAAGTGTTTAACTACAGGAACACAAGAACAAGAAGAAAAATCGTCGAACTGATTCTACAGTTATAAATATTTCTTTGGCACTATATTGTGTATTAGCTAAAGATAGGTTAGACATACGCTGAGGTGTTCAGGTGACATTGTACTTCATACCCTCGAGTGGAACCCGAATAGAAAGTGACAGGTTAGGCGTCTGAGGATGACATGGAGGAGATTATATGATGAAGAAATAAGAGTTTATGGGCAATCATGGAGCCGGACGATAGAGTTTGCAGAGAGCCGTGTGGAGTGGAGGTGTGTATGGCTGAAGCTCTATGTTCCACTCGAAGTGCAAGGAATGAATAATAGTGATGAAACTGAAAAAATATGATGAACAAAAAATAACTTTCGAAATCACTTTGTTTAGTTACAGGATTTCATCATGAGCTGACATCGGTTAGAGAACTATTGGAAAACCTGGGAGTACAGGACAACAGTCAAGTCAGCCTAGTTTGGGACTCTTCATCAGCACGCACCCATCAACAGGGTTTGAACCCAGGACCTTCTGCTCACTAGGCCAGCTCGTAGACCATTAAGCCACTGGGACCCGATCCAATGACCCCTGAATTCCAACTTCTTCCAATTCACGACATATCGTGAGTCTCAAACTAGAACGAAGCAGCTGTTAAGTATTATTATTATTGTTCCCTTGGGTTCCTAGTGGAGCATAGGGTTTTAACTGCACCATCATTGGTGATAATAAGCACCCTTGTCTGACTCCTGTATTTACTTCGAACGCCTCGCTGAGTTTTCCGTTGTGGATCACTTGACATGTTCCGTTGTCGTACAGCTGTTGAATAAGGTTGATGAATATTTGGGGTACGCCATAGTACTCGAGTAGTTTCCAAATTACTTCGCGGTCAACGCTGTCGAAGGCCTTCTCAAAGTCTATAAAGTTGAGGTAGAGGTTTGATTGCCATTCCATGCTTTGTTCTGTGATGATGATGCGTAGAGTTGCAATTTGGTCAGAACATGATTTGCCTGACTTTCCTGAATCCAGCTTGTTCTGGTCGGAGTTCTGTATCCAGTGCGTCCTTTATTCTCTCCAGGATGATGCGACTCAGGATTTTACTTGGCGTCGACAGGAGCATGATTCCTCGCCAGTTCTTGCAGAGTGGGCGTAAGTCGCCCTTCTTTGGTAGTTTCACGAGGTAACCTTTCCTCCAGTCAGTAGGCACCTTTCCCTCCTTCCAGACCTTTTGCAATAATGGAGTCAGCATGTCTGCTGTCGTCTCTGGGTCCGCTTTCAGTGCTTCAGGGGGTATTCCATCTGGTCCAGCTGCTTTTCCAGCTTTCAGAAGCTTGATTGCATTCAAGACTTCAGCTCTCGTTGGAGGATTGGTGTCAACTTGCAGTTGTGTGCGCGCTGTTGTTGGTATTTCTGGACGGGTTGCAGGTGATGGTCGGTTCAAGAGTCCTTTGAAGTGATCCGCCCATTGTTTAATCTGTCTTTCTTCCTTGGTAATTGGGTTCCCTTGGCTGTCTTTTATAGGTTTCGCTTGTGTTGATCTCTTCCCGGATAGAGATTTGGTTATCTGATATAATGTCCTCAGGTCTCTTTTGCCTGCTGCCTTCTCAGCTTCAGTGGCGAGTTTGTCGTAGAATCGTCTTTTGTCCTTCCTA